TTACATTACATCCAGTCTGTCTCATCCTCCTTTTTTAAAGTCATATTTGGCTCGTCACAAATAGTTCATTATTCGGTTCCATTTTGAATTAAAATATCTTTAACATTAGGTATAAACAAATGTGTACAATAATTTCTCAGCTTTAATAATTAAATTTATTTCAGTTCAATATAAATTTTATTACGTTCCTCTGATTTTGTATCGAGACGTCCCGTGTTATGAAAAGAAAACCCAAAGGGAAGAGTTAAAAGAAGATAATGTTTTGTTTTTGTTTTTTAATCTAGACAAAGATTAAGATGGTATGATATTAAAACCTGTAAAATCTTGAATTATGCGCATATTGTATTTGGTGTTAGATTTTATTCAAGAATTTTATCATTTGTGTTGTATTTCAAATATGTTTACAATTATAATGAAAATGATTTGTCCAAATCAGTTTTTTTTTCGAAATGTTTTGATAGAAGATATCAACAATTCTTTCTCAATTTAAAAAACTTTCATTTACCGAGTTATCCATTTTGTAAATAAGTTTGACTTATTTTTAAAGTGTTGTTACAAAAAAACGTTTTTAAATTTAGAATTATATAAGTTAAGCTTATTAAAATTTAAAGAATGATTCTGTTTCCGAAATTGACTACTGACTAATATAGTTTATATACATTTTTAAAAAATCTTCTCAGTTTTAATGCCAACAGAAGCTGACATATTCTTCTAACAATTCAATGATGTCACACGAACTCATGATATAAAGTGAAGTAAAGTACATATTATAAAGAGTGCTAAATCATATTATAATATTATATAATCATTATATTTTCAAGTTTTTATGCAAATATAAACAGTAAGTTATATAAAAACACATTTATTTTCACTTGAATCTTCAAACACAAAAAAAACCCACTTGAATTACATTAAGCAACTAAAGGTTTCATCTGCGGATATTTCCTAATTCAAAATTTTACAATTTCATGTAAGATGTTGCATTCTGCTTAAGTCGGTGCTGGCGGGCATGGACGGTAGCTTGCCCCAGTACCAATACAATCAATCAAATCGAGTCTGCGGACTTTTCAATTTTGTCGTTTTATGCGTTTTTAGTGATTCCGTTTTTCTCACGATTACTCAGATGTTCATTATCTTCAAAAGAAGACACAATGGCCTAAAGAATATTTCAGCTTTTAATCCGTTCAAAACTTTAAAGTGTATACCTACTGAAACAAAATAAATTTAACATTTTAAATGAATTTGGTATGAATTTTATTTGACGGTATTTCAACAAGAAAAACGAGCTCCAACAGTGTATTCAATAAGCATTACAAATATTTATATGGTAACAAATATACATGCAAAACATTTCATTCTGATACATGTATAAATCAACTCCTTATAAAGCAAACATCCGAACTTTAGCAAGGGCTAAAAGTTATGCCGATATTAAATGGAACCTTTTTCTATGTTTAAATTCACCAATTCCTGCAATTTGGTTTGTGTTGTCATTCAAAGCATTTAAAAATAAGTGTGAAAGATATATTAATATAATATTAAATTATTAATAAAATAGTACTCTATCAGCACTTTTTATTCGTTTTTATTACTTCGATTTAGATTTAATTAGGCGCAGATAACTTAAATACATATGTACTAACAGAATAACGCCAGAGAAAATAATATACAACAAGAAAATGTTTTTGCTAAAACCATTAACTTGCTTCAATCGAAATTGCATAGCCTTTAGTCTTCAACAGCATGCACACCCGTGTAGTCTGGCCAGAATCTACTGCTTCTAGAACAATTTTTGTATCCTTTACATAATGGTCTATTCCAAACTCAAAAGAAGGAAAATCCAGAACACAAATTCAAATGTCTAATGGTAAACACAGATAAGATATCGTAATTAGTTTGATATCATAATTATACTAAATAAGGAAGACTGATAAGATACTTTTTATAATATATATAATAATACTTCTTTTAATTATTCTCTATCGACATCTTTGAGATTTTGTTATTACATATAGGGAATTGGATAAGTTGGCAGGAGCATTGTTAGCATCAGAGCACAAATCAATCAATTTATTCAATTCTAAATTAAAGCTCTTAAAATTAACTTTACGATATACATGTACAGATAACTGTTATTTTGGTATACATAAAATTCATTTTATTGTAAAATTAATTTGCATACATCTGTTGCAAAAGCCTTTAATCACCATCATGTCAGTTGTGCTTTTTATATTTTAGTTAAAATGTTATTTTTAATAGTCAAAATAAAAACCTGAAAGGTCGCGAAACACGTCAAATTTAAGAACGTCGTGAGCGTTCGATACGACTGGGCGTATGTATGGACGGTAATAATGGTAAATGCAAGCTATTGTTCACCCCCACCCTGCACCGGCTGTAACAGAATTCAACATTAAAGTGTACGTATAAAAATTGTGAAATTTAAGATACGCTTAAACCATTCCTTTGCTGTATTTTATTGTGTATGCCATTCATTCGACGATATTTTAAGTAAAAGTGAGAATTTATGTCTTGCTTGAACTAATCGAAGATCAGGTGCTTCTCCTTGTTTAAACTCAATATTTAAATGGTCCTTTTTTCCAATTGACTCAAGCTTTGTCGGAGTGTGTAGACCTTTAATAAATGTAATGTCTTTTTTTTTACAAAAATACATGAATTTGAACAATAATACACTTGCACTTGAGTAAATTGACACTTTATGTAAACTTTCAAGTCGTTTACCAGCACATTCGCATTATATAATTATCATTAAATCAAACGATTTGGTTTAAAACCAAGCGTCTAATTCAATCAAACAGATTACATTATAAGTGATTTATTATTATGGAACGGAATAAAGTTTAATATATTTCTGTGCAGTTTAAGTAATATCATAGATAAGCATAACGAGATATGTTGTTATTCCCGTTGACTCATGCTTTAGGTAGAGTTATATTTACATATTCTCATCAGAAAATTATCATTAATGTACACAGTTTAAAACAAAACGTCTAAGTTATCCTTACAAGTAATGAATTAAAGTAACACTTAATAAGCTTACATACATACATACATACATACATACATACATACATACATACATACATACATACATACATGCATGCATGCATGCATGCATGCATGCATGCATGCATGCATACATACATACATACATACATACATACATACATACTGTAGAAATGATTTTTTTCCAGTTTAAAAGATGAAAAAATCCATTTAAAATATTAAGCATTGTAAAGTTTATTCAGTCACCAACAGTATGACACAGACTGACTGAAAATTAAGTAAATGTACGATGAAATACTTTCTTCATACACTCCATCATCAAGTGTATAAGCAAACTCTTTATCTGCGTACCAGTTACGTTTAGTTTATATAATAATGTGGCATTAATTTTAACATGTAAAATATTGTTACATTTGGAATTAAGAAGGGAACTTCATTTTAAACCAATCTTTAATATGTGGTGTTCTTAAAAGCAAGCAAAAATGCCTTCAAATTTCTGTTGTTTTTTTTTCTTGAAGTTGATATATACCATATATTTTTGACATGTCAAAGTAAATTATTAAGAATGAACTCAAAGGTATATAAATTTTAGCTATTGTATGTGCTTATGTTAACTCTTAGTCCCTTATCATGGTGATTTCTACAGAAGGCTCGGAAATATGTGATGGTGTTTTATGTTTTAGTGTTATAGTTTATAGTATTTCATTAGTCTCCAATAAATCGAATATTTGATTGGTTTCATTTATGCATGCAATCTTGTATTGTTCAATGATTGAATTATACATGTATGTTAATAACTCTAATAAATAAATGAAATAAAATAATATATATACCAGGTAAGAAAGAAAACATGCAGAACATTTAAGAAATGATAATGAAACAGTTGGTTATAAACAAATGTCATTATGTTTAAAAGATTGAAATCTCCATCCTAAGATACAGGTCTGATTTCTTAATTTCAAAGTCTTAAACACAAAAGTTGTTAATTTCGTTAAGTGTAAGCTCGTTTTATATTGACATAAGTATTAGCATTTTATATACTATAAGGTAACCGTAGTTACACACAAGTCATTTATATGACTGTGTAATATTAGACATCATTATCATCACAAACATGCGTAACAAATCAATTAGTAGATATATGAAAAACTTGGGGTTATATAGTAAATCTAGTTTAAAGAACCAAAGGTAAGTATACTAGTACTTCAATGAAACATGTGTGTGTATGTGTTTTTCTTGCACGTCGAATTTTTTGTTAGTAGCCTATGACACACGGTTTCTTCTTGTGAGAGTTACCTTATTCCTGTACTCATATTTATCACCATATAAAAATAACAGCTTATCAAAAAGGCCCGTTCCTTCATTTACTAGAATAGGTTGAGCCTTAACAGATAAGTGTCATCATGACTTTAAGCAAGCAATTAAAGCCATTTTCTTTTAAAAAACTTTTTCCCCTGTGATAAACTATACAACAATTTTATATCTGAATGTGTAGTGTTGAACATTAGACTACTTCTTAAGTATTCATCGTGAAACATAAATGCACCTTATTCATTTAAAAGAAGAAAAAGAAAGAAAACGCAAATCAAATGCCAGTTTGAAACATGAAACCTTTATTTGCTACTGCGTTTCCTCTTCGGAAAGAACGCTGACAGCATTGATGACACATGCTGCTTTATTTTAAGAGCTGACTTCTATAACATTTGAAATACCAATCACATCTGACTAATATGTAAACAAAAATTGCTTGTATAAAAAATACATTCATTTAATATGAAATTGTTACATTTTTTACCTTCATTCAGACAAAAAACATATATTTGTCTAAAAGAAAGTAAAAATATGCACAAAAACACGAAATTTATCTTAGACATGTGCTCATAAACTAATTTACCTTTTAACAAATGAACTATCAAAACCTTTGTCTTAATAGTATAATCTTGAATAAATTTCTACGAATAAAAGAATCAACTTACATGATGGGTGAGCTTGGAATGGTAGGTCCATACCTAGGGGTCTGGAAGCTGGGTGTAACCCCGGTGGACAATGAAAACAAAACATCTTTTATCTAGTTTGAAATCGTATCTGAAAATAGACAAATTTATTCCAGTGGTTATAGATTTAAATGAGAAAACACTGATTAAATGAATATTAAATACATATATCTAATAAAAATGTTTTTGTATAATTACATGTGCTTGTCTAATGTCATGTATTTGTTTAATGTTAAAAAGAAACTCTCACCTGATACTCAGTAACTTGAACACCTTACAGCATCTGTTAATATGGCTAGAGTTTAATCCTTTCAATCTCGTTTTTATAGTGTCCAATCCCCCTACCCTTAGCAGTCACTTTAATACCACAGTATAATTCAAGACGCTAATAACAGATACAGTATAAGTAACCGCAAACATATTCAAAAATGATTAAAATTACCATTTCTTTTAATTCGTCCATTATTTTTTAGCCTTTATAGCTCTTCGTGTTGCCATAAAATCATGAAAAATATATAAAAAACAATGCTTTCAAATTTTGAAAAATAATAACAAAAGGCTATTATAAGATAGCAACAAGCTATAAAAATTATCAATATGATCTTTGTTTGTTGGTTTTAATCTTTATAGCAAACATATCTGTTTTTATAATTTATAATTTGCGCTCTTAAATCAAATTTCATGTTTATGATATAATTTCATAAACGTCAAATTTTCTTTATTGGCATAGATTGCTCCGCAGTGTATTGGAAGACTGTACAGTGTCTGTTGAACGAGGACAGACTGCAGGTTGATTAAAAAGTAGTACCTGTTGAAAGGCTGTAGGTGATATTAATTACCAGCAGGTATAAAACAGATGGAGGCAGGGGATGCATAAAACGACCACAAAATTATTTGGTTTTAATTTTACGACGATTTTCTTATATTTTGCCCAATAAAAATTGATTAATGTAGCCTATGTTTTAACATCAGTTTCGCTTTGCTGCTAAAGTGGCAACTCTAAACAATAAATGTTTAATTGTTTCTAATTGTTGTAAAGGAGAGATCGACCTCCAGTATAACATAATTTTCGTCAAGACTTATGGATTATGATATAGAATGTGGGCTAGGAAGACATTCCTCGTAGAGCTTCGTACCAAACGTAATGCTGAACGAGAACGACTAATTTGCATACATAGGATCATATAATAGCAGTAAATATAATTGTTTATTTACTTATATTTGCTAAGTGTACAAAACTAAAGTGTTTTCAATTACAAGATACTAGTATCCGTGTATGTACAAATGTTCATATCTTTTATTACACTTTAATAAAAATCCATTATATTCTGCAGACATTATAAATTATATAAAATATATATTTGTGTAATGTAATAAATTCTTAACTCACCTCTAAAATGGATAACTTTTCTTATTCTGGCAGAATTGTTAGTCTCTTTAAAATACACAAATTATAATTCCGTTCTATTGTTCCTCGACTTTCTTGTTCTAGAGTGTTTCATACAATAAGACAAGAAGTTCTGGGTGAATACTGGAGCTAAATTATCAATCATAATTCAATTTTCTATCCATCGGAACCGTTCGTTCTAATACGTGGACAATGGGGTGTTCGTCATGCTGAATAATAATTTGTTACCAATAATGCGCTCTATACACGTTTGCTAATAGCGCGCTTATTCGGTTTTTTGTCACATAATACGCAATTATGGTACAGCATCCGCCAAGGGGTCGGTCTTTAGACAGTAACAAGAGGTGACAAAGTATTGGAACTCTGCATCCGCCCAGAACTATAGGAAATTCTGATAACCAATCATTTTGGTGTCGCAGAAAATATGGGCGGAGCTTCGCTAATGGTGATATATGATATCAGATGTTCTGCATGCAGAAGATGGCTGTTACTTCGTATCGGAGAATGATTTAACTACTACTTCTGCATAACCTATAAAGGAATCGGATAGCCTAAAAGACTACAGTGATACTTAAATTACATTAACAACTAAAAACGGCAAAAAAAATCATCTAAAAAACCCACTAACACTGTGTTGACAATTCCATTTGACAGTGATCGCATATAAAATGAACCATTTAAAAAAGTATAAAACATCTTTTTAATTATTAAACAGGTTTCGTCATTTAATGGTTTTTAAATGGATTAACAAAAACTATTCAGTACTGAGTATAAATAAACATGAGCTCATTCTAAGCTCATTTAGATGGCAATGCATACAGTACATGCATCATTATTCTATTTTAGCTTATTTGTATAGATTTTAGTACTTTTCGATAGCATGTTTTTGAGACACTTTTAGTTAGATATAAAAAATAATCTGAAAGCAAAGTAACGTCACATCATTTTATTCCTTATCAGTGAAAACCAACTTTAATTACATATGCTTCTTAAAAGTATTTTACCGTTAAATTTCCGTTATTGAATTAATTAGAAACTTTCTGAAAAAATCAATATATACTTAATATAAATCATTGAAGTATTCTTTTATCGCTCAACTATAGTTAAAATAAATTTCTCAAACATTAATTACTTAATAAAGAAATTATACATGTAAATCTTTTTACAATGTATTTAAAAAAACCTAAAGGCTTTAAACGGGAGAAATAAAGGAACAAGTTGCTTGTTTGCATCTGAAAGGTCTCTGTATGTTGATACCAATCTTCTACAAGAAAATACAATTACTTTGCATAAATTCAATTTATTATTTTGTGGGGGTACATTTTCCTTCATGACTGTGTATCAATTTTGATTTAAGAACTTTGTACAAATCTTATTCGCTGATACATGAAAATATCGAATAAGATTTATAAAAAGGGACATAGAACAAACCGGCAAAATAAAAACAATAGAATAACAAAACAGGAAAGAAAAAAATAGAAAAAAAGAAAACACTAAACAAACGACAAAACAGAAAATATACAGGTATTCGTGTGTAGATAAAAGGGCTTTTCAAAGTAAAAAAAACTTTGTTTATATAACAAATATTTAAATTAAAAAGTCATTCTCAAATTTATTACTTTTTATATAAACTATATGTACTCTATTCTAAAACACATTGTACTTTCAAAACACAACTTAAGTATTCAAACACACAGCAATAAATTCCATTCCAAAATACCGTTATTATTTCTTTCTATTAAAACGGCTATGTCTGAAATTGTGTATTCATATACTGGGAGACTACGGCTGCTTTCCATCCGCAATGCCATCTTTCAAGTGCTCTGAGTGACGTCTTTAAACATCTATATAACAATGTAATATCGTAGATCGATACCGCAGGATGAATATATCTAAAATGAGCAGATACATCTGGCTTGCTTATTCAACAATAATTCTATGAAAATTACGTTAAACGACAAATGGCACGTCAGTTTTAATCTTGGTAATTGGGGGATGTGCAAAACACAGTAACCCCTAATTGAAGTTAATATACCTAATTTTGTATATCTAATCGAATGTCTGTTTTGGAATAGTCAGATGAGGCTTATTTATTCTTTATGAATGTGTTTTATTAAATTTTCATGGCGGATTATGGTTTATTGTAAAGCGAAGTAACTCAATTATAGGATGTCTTCGCGGAAATGTAGGAAATTGGGAGGGACCTGCCAAGTATCTCCGCATAGTAAGCCGTGTCGGAGATGAGATCGACAAAAATAGACATTATCTGGAATAATTCTCTCAAAGAAAGACGATAGCCACTTGCAGTTATGAAATGATGGATTATTATTTACTGATTATATTTATTGACTCATAAAAAATCTTTTCATTTTGAGGGCATCTAGGAGACAGCGGGAACAGGGGAGCAATGTTTATTCCGAGTATATTTTCCGTCTTATTAACAAAATCCTTGATAAAAAATGTTCAAAAATTAGATTATCGTTGTTTTTTGGAAAACAACAACAACGAAATAACCATTGAAATAATTCAATGATATATAGAAAGCGAAAAGTATCAAATGTAGACCAAATCTTAAATATAGATTGCTAAGAAATTATTTTTATCAAAATAAACAATTTTTCGCTAAACATTCTAAACTTTAGCAAACAAAAAGAACACTGACATTAACATAGACAGTTTTAAGCATTTTACGCGAATTTCCTCAAAATTACTAGTGACGGGCTATTTTTTTAATGAAACCATTCAGAAGTACCTGCTTTGGATTAACTAAATCAATTACTGCGAGATTAACTTAACTAAAGAAACACTGATTAAAATAGTCTGGTTTTACCGAAACTTTGGAGGTGTTTCTATCTCGACAACCCAGATGTATAGTTCATGTAATTTATAAAACAAGTATATAACCCTTTAATTAGATTATATCTTTTATTTAAAAAAAAAACAACAACAAAAAAAAACATTTTCATGTCTATAATTTCTTCTTTTCATTTCATGATAGGAAGTATAAAACCATACTTTATTGTGCAATATTTATGACTTCAACTTTATTATCTAAAGCTGGTTAAGTTTGAAATCATAAGTCCTGGCAACCAACAACAAATTGGGAGTCCTAGCATTAATGTTGTCACAGCGGCTTTAGTTAAGAAATCAACTCATAGTAGGGTACTGAAATCAATATATTACATCAATGAATTGTAACCCCCGGGGTTGGGGAGGGGAGAGAGAAAGGCAAGGGCAGTGGCGTGGTGTTGGCTTTTCGTTTGCCCGAACACTGACGGGGTCATTGCAGGTGATTTTTTCAAAGAATTTAAAAATTCCAAAGTCATAGTATCCGCTATTCCCCCGTGGGAATTGGGTGTGGTTATAACTGACTGGCTATAATCAGCATTGAGGCAAATTACTTTTTACCTGAAATTTCATAATACATGTATAACAAAACGTAAATTAGAAAGCGAAAATAAATTTCAGATGTGAATGTATAGGGATCGTTTACAGAAGTTATAGAAAGATTGTCGACCTTTATTTCAAATGCATGCACTTAACATTAATAGCTAAGACCACTAGTAGCGATTAATACCACTCAATTATACGTGGCTATCACTTTAACCCATAATAACTGTAGTTATCAACAACTTGTGTGACAATGAAATGTAAACTTGCTTTCCCCGCACGTACACTCGGAACAATGTGTACTCATTGCAAGTTAATTTCCAATGTCCTTATGCACATTATCTTAATCACTTGTGCTATATCATGTTTTCCTAATTCCCCTAACATAATCACCACGACAATTTGTTAATTGTAAGTTAATATTCCATCTAAATACCGGCTCCCATTGGAAAGCGCTGCCTTACAAAGTAAAGGCCAGAGCTTACTTTTCTCTCGTATTATCCAAGATCAAATATCGCGACCCTACTCATTGTTTACTGTTTAATTAGCCTAATATCTTCACCGTTATCCAGTTTTTCAGGAAATAAGATTAAATGAGGGTCCATTAACATCGTCTGTGGGGACCTCATTTTCAATTACATTTATAAATGACTTTTCTAATACTAATTACATTAATAGTATTGGGAACTTTCTAATACCCGGATAAAAAGCGATTTGTATTCAGACTCAGAACTTGAAGGCTGTTTGAGAATTGAATTAGTCCATCAAGTACTGTATGATATTATTTCAAATAATCCTATTATCTTTCAGTAATCTGTTTTTTATTCAGTCAAAGGTATCGTGTTATTTCGGTCAATGATTTGATGTTTTGAGAATGTCTGTGTGGGCTTGAACTGAAATTTTTCTTAACATTTTTGTTAATGCTTAAAACTTTATTTTCAACTTATGTTTCGAAGGTGATGTTTAAACAATTTGTTTACTTCTTTCCAAATTATCTGTAGACTGAAAATACTTAATTCCAGCATCTTTTAAAGTTTTAAGTTTATTAGTTCTATTTCAGTTCAATTAGTATTTTAAATTACACGTATATATTCTTAAGAAGAAAAAGAAGAAGAAGAACTGTAATGTTACGTTATACGTTATTTTCAATACACATTTATTTTAACCATCTAAAATGGACTTGACTATCATTCAACCTGGACAAAGCAAATAATCATATTGTAAGAGAATATTCAACTGATAGAATAACATCGCATGTGTAGATTCAGTTGCCGCCAACAAGCTAAAGGTTACTGTAGTGAATAAATATTCAGAAGTATTTTCTCAATAAAGTTGATCCCTTTCCTTTCACTATAAAAATCAAATTTAGATAAAAATGCAATTAAATTAAAGGGGGGGGGGGGACAAAGAAGCATGGTTGTTATAGCTGTTGTACAGAAACATAAGAAAGTTATTCTTCTTGGCAGTCAGTAGAGTCTTTATGGATTAATATAAAATTCAACAACATTCAATCATTTATATATTTATTTATTGCCATTGATACATAACTGAAATGTCGTTGCATTTAAGTTTGTACAATATATGCATACACTTATCTTGCACGATATACACACAAAACAATACAATATGTCCGAGTTGATATTGTACATATTTTGTTTCATATACTAGCATTTTCAGTGTGTTTTATTTACAAGAACCAAAATAATTACACGTTGATCTAAAATAAAGATATCATAAATATCACACATAACTGCACTGTATCTCCTGAAAATCTGAAAATATTTTACAAATACTACAATTAAGCTTCGGACAAGTTATTATTTTATCGACTACATTGTACATGTATACTCCGGCATATAGCATATATCTCGTATGTGTTTGACAAAAAGAAAATCTAATTCTCATTAAATATTTAGTAATAAAGATAAAATACA